AAATCATTTCAAAAGTATCTTATTTTTCATATTTAGTGAAATTGCAAAGAAATAATCTTATTCATTTACAGTGAAATTATAAATTTTAACAGCCCATGCATGTACAGTACATGTACTTTAGTCTGTCATTGAAACGAGGCTCATCTGGAGATACTGCAGTTTCAATAATTATCACTACCTACATGCATAATATGCATCAATGGCCAAGAATAAGTATTATGATTTTTCAATATTAATTTATTAGATATAATAATAATAATAATGATTAAAGTCTTCCATACATCATTTTAGAATGCAGCTGAGCAGTTACTACCTTGTTAGTTTGAGTGGCCTGTATAATGAAATTGATAAAGCAAGCTACATGTATATCAAGTATATTTACATTACCTTTGTGTATTCAATTGCTGCTTTATCAACATCTTTTGTGACTCCTTGTCCCAGAAATAGACATTGTGCATATATAAAATGAGCAGTAGCTAGTCCTTCTGATATTAAACTGGTAACACTTTGACTCTTAGTTGCTCTGCTTGCCGCTACATCATCGCAAACACTTTAAAAATAATCATTATCATCATGAGGATATCTTGGAGGCTGTACCTTTGTGCAACTTCCACAGCTTTGCTGTACATTTTAGTCGAGTAGTAATAATTTGCAAGTAAGCCGGATCCATATATAGATCCATTGTCGGAGGATTTTTTTAACCATTTCAAAGATAGTTCTCTATCTTCTAGACATCCTTCTCCTCTCATGTACAATAGCCCGAGTGTCCCCATGGAGTCCTTGTGGCCATTCTCTGCTGCTTTAACATGCCACGAGAAAGCCTGTTATTTTGCTTTTAGTATAATAATAGTTAAATGCCACCATTACTGACCTTTTCTTTATCAGCATAGTCTGGTGTTGAGTAGAATAATGCTAGAGTGTTCATTGCTCGTATTCCTGACTCTGTGTCAGAGTTTGAGCACATCTTCCACCATTTTAGTGCTTCCTCTGGATCTTGCTTAACACCAAATCCTACACCGGCCATCAATTAAAAGGTTACTATACAATCTCGATGTGATTACATTACTTGTCTCCATTACCTTGAAAGTATGCTCTACCAATGTTAAATTGTGCTGCTGATACCAGGTCTGTGTTTTTAGCTCCCTTGCATTGAGCAACTTTAAGCATTAACTTAAATCCTTCTTCCTTTGTAAACACAATTATCAACTCATAAATATACATGCTTCTTTTATGGTGATCTTACTGATGATGCTTCAGTCCCTTGGAGACCCTGATACCTAATCACAGCCAGCTCATACAGTGCTTGTGCATCTTCTTGTCTTGCTGCTGATGTCAAGTATGACATTGCTTTCCCTGTCTGTCCTTGAGATAGAAATATTTTTGCAAGTGAGAACTGAGCCATTGCATTCCCTCTCTCTCCCTGCTCCACAAGTTCTTCTAGTAGCAAGTCCTTTTTATCTTGATCAGGGTCAGCTATTAGTACTGGCTTCTCTAAACTTTCTGCCAGTAGTGTATTGCTAGTAGTGACACTCATCGTGTATCTCCTGCTGCCCCACAAGTGATATTATTCAGTTACCATAACAACGAAATATTCAATACAAATCAACAATTAGAATATAATACGGTATTGTTTAATGATCATGATGCTCTGTAAATTTTGTTAATCAACTTTGGGCCCGTTGTATGGCTATAGAAAAA